GACTAGTGGGAGTGCAATATTGTTTTACTTTCTTAATGGAATATCAAATCTATATTAAACCAAATTAGATAATAATAATTGAATGTTGATTTGTAGACAAAGACTGACCCAAGAATGTCTCATGTATCTTATCATCAGGTCTCCATGCTCCTTAGAATGGGCGCACCCCAGCTGATCAAGGAATTGTTTCTGCACCTGTGCTCCATGGGTAGGACCATGAAGACCAGCGCAAGTGACAGACCGTGTTCTCATCTTCTGTTGGTTTGTTTGGCATATTTAGTGTTAAGAAAAAGTATTAAAGATAAATTAAAAAAGAAAACATGGCCTGATGACAAAAAAAAAATGAAATGATATGATATGAAGTGATGGGGCTGGGAAGATAGGTCAGCAGCAGAAGTGCCTGCCTGGCAAGTGTAAGGTCCTGAGTTTGATCCCTGGAACCTCCAAAAAAAATAATGCAGTAGATACAAAGTGATGTGAAACACCTTCATTAATTATTTTCTGGAATCAGTCTGTTTACTGAGCGTCATAGTTAGTTTTTTTTTTTTTAACCTTTTTAAAGGTATTCACTGTAATACTTAAAGGTTAATATTAGGTATAATTTTTGAAAGGGTCAGCTGTAGTCCAATAAGCTAAAGGGGATTATATGATAGATGTTGATTAATTGATATTTACAACAATTAGTATGATTAATGAAAGAGGTATAATCAATTAGGCAAGTGATTCCTAAGACAAATGGTACCCAGTAGCAACTTGTCCTTGAGTGTCTGGAATCCATCGTTATTTAATTATTATTACTGAATCAATGAATTAATCAACAAACTACCTTAAATGAGAATAAGCAGCTCACAACTGGGGCCAGCGGTGAATCATGGTGATGAATCCTTCATGTCTGCAATCTGGTTGTGTCTGAGGCCAAGACGCAATAAGAACTTGCTTAATTTTGTGTTGTAAATAATTCTTTCAAAGTGATTCTTGACTCTCAGAGTGACTGAGAGAATAATAATCACTTTGGGAGAATCTCCCCTTCTCATTCATTTTTCTGGTCTCCATCTAGCTGTACTCCCAGAAAGGTCACATTGCGCTGATTCTAACATCCTCTATGGCACTTGCCTACATTGTCTCAACTCGGGCTTAGAGGCTGATGTAAGTAAGCACTGAAGATGCATGTCTTCCTTGAGATTATTTTTCACATAGGATTTACTGTATAGTATTTACTAACAGTATGAAGTGTAACCTAAAAGGCCACCCATGGATAATGGTAAATATGGGACGAATAGGAAATGTATATGTCAATCCATATATGTGCTAATGCAAAACTTATGTGCATATGGCAGATGTGGCCCTGCATATTAGTATTGCTCTTATTTATAAGATTAAGTAAACTCTAGCTTTAACAATTACTGGCCTGGAGTAGGTCAATGAGCAAATGTGGATGAAAAAGAAGAAATAGAAGCCCAAGGCTGGACCGATGATGGTGACTGACGGCATAGAGAAGTGTGGATGGTGACCATCAGGCTACTCTGCCGTGCCAGAAGAGTTAATGTGGTCTATTGCCTCCGTTTAAAGTGAACCTGTAGTTCCACTGAAAAAGGAAAAAAATGTGAGCCTGTAGATAGATATTATAATAATGGATGGCTCACTCCCTTGGACATCAGTGTGCAGCACAAATGTGATGAACACTGCGAAGCATGACTGATCTCCATATTTAAAGAAGTCAGTTCCAAAAGAACTGGTGCGCCTGAGCACGTGCGAGACCACACGAGCAGAGAGTGTGCTCCAGTCTTGCTCCTGCTCTGCACTCTGCCCGTCTCTCGGCAGGAGCACGCTGTGCTTCCCTGAAACATCTGCCTTGTTCCAGTGCAATCCCGGCTCCCTGCGTGTGGAGGAGCACTTGGCCCCCGAGAGCACCGAGCACAGCTCTGGTCTCGCTTTGGGTGACTTGTTTAGGGTACTCATGGTCATAGGAGACTCACGCTACAGTATCTGAGTAGCCATATCCTCATCATACGTGTGGAATTGGCACATGGCATTACGTTGATTAATGGGTGCATTCAACATGGAAATGGGTAGTAAAACATGTACATTTTAGGCTAACAAGTGGACAGATGCTGAGAATCCTTTGTTAGTAGTAAAGTAATAAGCTGTACTATAATCACATGTAGATGAGCATGGAGACTCCCCCGCCCAGAGCCAGGGATCATAGCTAGTCGTGTGGTGGGTATAGACGTTGTACAGTCTGCAACCTAAGGGCCAATGCGAAAGGCATCTTGGCCACCCCTCAGTGCTTCTGTAGTACATAGCCACGTGTTCTGCTCTGACGATAAGTTCGTCGTAGTAATAGACAAATGAATCGGTGCTACAAGAAATACATATGTAGCTATGTAAATATTGAAAGATGTCGCTCAGTGTAATTGATGACCTGTGTTCATCCTGTTGTCTGCTCTGCATTCTTCTGGGAAGATGATGCCACCTTCCTGTTGGGCCAAAGTGAGTCCCATGAGAAAGTGTTCTTTTTTGGGGATCCCCTTTTTGAGGATGTTAATTATGTTACTAATGAGTATTAAATACATAAAAGCTAAGATTGACCCAATTATAAAACTATGAGAGGATATCTGCTCATTCATAGTATGCTAATGAATATTCACATATTAAAAATAGTTTTTTAATAGATTAAAAAACAAAAAGCATTTGGCTTTTCTATGAAAGAGTTATATAGTCTGATGTTAGAGATTTTCAAAGATATTTTCTTTGGCCTTCAAAATTATGTTATTATTACTATTATTATTATTACTCATATAATGTCTTATTTAAATAAATATGGAAATAAAGAAAAGGGAACCAAACATGGGCCAGTGGTGATGCCGGTGGCACATAGGTCGGTCATATTATGATGAACATTATGTGTCTTAAATTCAGAGGTTCAGGGGCCAGGGAGATGGCTCAGTAGAATAAGTGCTTCCCTGGCAAGTGCAAGGGCCTGAGTTCAATCCCCGGTTCCGCAAAAAAAAAAAAAAAAAAAAAAAAAAAAAAAAAAAAATTCAGAGGTTCAGCCCAAAACATAAATGGGTTTGTGCTCTTGGAAACAGCCTTAGGGGCAGATACTGGAAATGTGCCCAGATAGTATTCTTACTTTGGATTCTTAGACTTCAACTGATTGTTAGGGATGAATGATGGGACAACTAAGCAAGGATAGACAGGTAAAGCAGAGGGGAAGTCATTATCCGACTGTGGCTGTGTCGGATCATGGAGGCAATGGCAGGAGCCCTTAGGGTGAGGCCTCGGTACTGAGAAAGAAATAAATAAATATTAAAGCTCCTTAAGAACACAGTAAATAAATCAAAATGAGACAAAGAAATGCATCATGGGTATCACTTCTTAGGTAATTATCACATGCATTGTAATTAGTAGGGGTCAGTTTTGTTTTCTGGGTCAGTCTCTCTCAAGTGGAAGGCTGCTTCCTTGGTTGAGAGAAAAACATTCCGTTATGAACAATTAATTAATATCTACAGAATTGAGGGAAATGCGGAATCTGAGCAGAGACAGACCTTGGTTTTCCTCCAGTCACCTGCCCTTCGTATTGTGTGGAATGGAGGCATTGGCACTAATTGGCTTGGGTTGCTTTTATGAATATTGGTTATGTCACCACAGATGCATCAATGTGGGGCTGAACGTACATACCCAAGAAAGTAAGATGAGGAATATGCAGTGTGAAGCCTTTCTATTCTTACTGTTGGTGGGATGGTGATAAAATCTAAAAAAGTGGGGCTGGGGAGATGGCTCAGTGGAATAAGCGCTTCCCTGGCAAGCGCAAGGGCCTGAGTTCAATCCCCGGTTCTGCCCCCCCCAAAAAAAAAATCTAAAAAAGTGTATAGGAAACATTGAATTGGTTAAATGATCCGAGTATTTTAATTGTATGATTAAGAATAATATGAATAATATAGTGCCTTATTGTTCATTTTAATAGAAAATTAATATACTACCCCACAATATTGACATTATCTGCTCTGCTTTATGTTTATTAGAGTGGATGAACCTTAGCTCACTAATCCCTTGGCTGTCATCAGGAACTCCAAGACTGCTGCCTATAGCCAACATGAGTAGTTTGCTTTGGTTTGAGATGTTTGCTTGTGGTCTTCAGTATAATTTTAGAAAGCTATTAAATACGATCAAAAGAAGCCAACCACGTTCCAAAGGTAAGTAGCAAATCCACATGGACTATTATGTAGGTTTGTGCATATTAGTATCCATGAAGATGTCAACAAGGAAAATGATGGAAATTATGGATTTTATCTTTGAGTTTCTGTGATTTATGAATATTTGCTCCTAGAATTAGTGAATGTACCATTACTAATAGACAGTGTAGACAAAGATGAGAGATCATGGGTTGATGGTGACTCCTGCTGGCCAGTGCTGGGCGGGCAATATGTGCCTGGAGCTCCGAGGTCCTTCCCAGGGGCTGTTTATCTAGTCTTATCTCCCTGTGCGTAGGGATTCTAATCAGAGTTCAGGGACTTTGCTATTGTCTTTATGTTCATGAATTTTAGAAAAAGAGATTAAAATAGCAATGGCTGTATAAATCAACAACATATGCGTAATAATTAACAGTGTATTATATGGTCAATGGCTGAAATATATAACAATTAATACCACATAAATTAAAATTATCGGGGCTGGAGAGATGGCTCAGTGGTCTAAAGCACCTACTTAGAACAAGCTTAGCAAAGCATCAGGGACCGCGGTTCAATCCCCCAGCACAACATGCCA